CTGTCAGGAGGAAGAGCAGGTAGCAGAACTCCCAGAAGCTTCGTGGGGCTCGGAAGAACACCAGGTTTGGAGTTGGAGAGTGCCAGATTCCAGGAAGTTAAGATCTGGGACCAAAGAAAGATCCAGAAGGATGAAGCCAACACGAGAGTGCAATGTTTCCAGTTGGGGCATGTGTTGGTAAAGCTGCACAGGGTAGGGAGAGAGCGAGTTTGTGGCAGTCAGTGGTGTCAAAAGGAAGACACGCAGGGCTCAGGAATGTCACGTAACTACAGCTTGGGGAGGACTCCAGCCAGGCTCTGAGAGACCGAGAGGAAGAGCCACTCGTGGGCAGCTGGGCACAGGGGTTCTGAGCGATCAGGAGCTGGCCCAACCAGCCTCAGGTCAGGTCAGTCTGTGAGGCACAGCAGGTCATTGGCCCCTTGGCTGTTTTCTACCTGCAAAAAAACCAGGGATGTTCTCTCTGGAAAAAGACAACACAACCTCTAAGATTGTTCTCATATGATGGGTGAAACTCGATTTAAAACATCACCAGGCATTTAGGACACGGGCTAGGAGGAGAACAAGAAGATAGAACTAGACCCAAAGGTGACTAAGGGAACGGAGTTTCAGAGACGTGTAAAGAATTATGATTTCACAAATTCAAAATGGAGTTTACAAAATGCAGAATCTTGTTATAGGAACAAAAATTTTTAAAAGAATTAAGAGGAAATATGAGAGCCAAAAAAATACTTCTGAAATGAACAACTCCAGGGATCATTTGAATAGCAGGCAGACCATGGCTAAAGACAGAATTAGTGAACTCAATGAGTTGCACTTACTAGAAACATGCAGACTAAACCATATTAATAAAAGATAATGGTAGAGATAAAAAAGAACAAAAGACACGTCACTCATGCTCAAAGGGCATAACGTTGGAAAATCAGGAATTAGAAGGACAATGCACAGAATTTTCCAAAACTAATAAGACCCATCCTGGCGTAGATTTCTGAAATACTGTGTGCCTGACACTGAATGAATCGGCAGTCCACAGAAAGATGTAGCAGAACAAAATCAAAGATGAGGAAATAGCTTTTTTATTTTCTGTGTTTTTATTTATTTATTTGAAAGGCAGAGAGAGAGGGAGAGATCTTCCATCTGTTGGCTCACTCCACAGAGGCGTGCAGCGCCCAGGGCTGGCATAGCTGAACACTCCACAGAGGCGTGCAGCGCCCAGGGCTGGCATAGCTGAACACTCCACAGAGGCGTGCAATGCCCAGGGCTGGCATAGCTGAAGCCACACAACAGCCACGTCTTCATCTGGGTGGCAGGAAGCCAAGTACCTCGAACCTGCCTCTGGTGCCTCTGAGGTGCCTTAGCAGGAAGCTGCACCGGAAGTGGAGCAGCACAAGGATGTGGGATTCAGGCTCCCCAAATGGGGGCTCGGCCTCCAGTGCCCCAACAACTACCCAAGATCTTTTTTTTTTTTAACATTGTTTGTAAATAGAAGAGCAGTGTCTTCCCAAGGCAGCAAGACACGGGCACCCGTGCAGGTTCCAGAGAGCCTCAGCTCTCACAGTGGGCCTGGGGGTATCACAGCGCCCGCCAGCACAGCTGTTACTCTGGTAAAGATTTCAACTAAGTAAATAAAGGAGGGAGACAAGGAGGCTGGTAAAGGAAGGAATAAAATTGTAAAGAGAAAATCAAACCATTAACAACCGTGTGATCATAAATGATGACTCAATGAAGTCTCCAATTTTAAAATCCATTTACAAAAAGTGGTTGCTTCTGCAGTCAAAGAAAAATTTTTAAATTTTAATTTTAACATGATTTATAAAAATCCAGAAATATCAAATATATAGGAATAAATATATCAAACTATGTATATGGTCTCTGTACAGCAAACTGCTAACCACCGACAGGAGAAGCGAGGGGCCAGCACTGTGGTAGAGCGGGTTAAGCTACCACCTGGAACGCTGGCATCCTATGTGAATGCTGCCTCAAGTCCAGCTGCTGTACATCTGGTCAGCTTCCTGGCAATGGGCTGGGAAGGCAGCAGCAGACGGCCCAAATGCTTGGGACCCTGCCACCCAGAAGAAGCTCCCGGCACCGAGCTCTAGATCAGCTCAGTTTGGGTTGTTGTGGTCACTGGGGGAATAAACCAGTGGGTGGAAGACCTCTTTCTGTCTCTCCTTCTCTCTCTGTAATTCTGCCTCTTTTTCAAAATCTTAAAGAGAGAGACAGAAAAAAAAAGGGGGGGACAAAAATAGCCACCTTGACATACAAGGAATAAAGCAGAACAAAAAATAAATCTTAAAAGAAGAAAAAGCCCAGTCATCAGGGTAGTGTGGGGCCACGGGGAAGCAGGGCGGCAGAGCGGCAGGACAGGGGCCACACACAGGCCTCGTTTATGCCAAGGCACTGTCTTTGTTTTTTAGGGTTTATTTACTTTTGTTAGAAAGGCAGATTTATAGAGAGGAGGTTCACTTCCTAAGTGGCGTCATGGCCAAAGTTGAATTGATCTGAAGCCAGGAACCAGGAACTTCTGGGTCTCTGCAGATGCAGGGCCCCAAGGCTTTGGGCCGTCCTCTACTGTTTTCCCAGGCCACAAGCAGGGAGCTGGATGGGAAGTGGGGCTGCCAGGACACTAAGTAGCACCCGTAGATAGGATTCTGGCACATGCAAGTCAAGGACTTAGCCACTAGGCTACTGCACCAGGCCCAAGGTACAATCTTTTAAAAAATAATATTTGTTTGAAAGACAGAGTGACAGAAAGAGATCTTCCGTTCACTAGTTCACTCCCCAAATGACCCAACGAGCAGGGCTGGATCAGGTCCAAACCAGGATCCTGGAAACCATCCAGATCTCCCTTGCAGGTGGCAGGGGCCCAAGCACATGGGTCATTGCCCACCCGCTCCAAGGAGCATTGGCAGGGAGAATGGGGTGCTGGTGCTGTAAGGTGCCAGCCCCTACTCGCTCTCGTCGCTACCACTTCAGTTGGATTGTTTTTATTACTCTCTGTTCTGTTTTTCAATGTGGTCGTCTGGAAGCGGGTGATGGGCTTCCAGCTGGTACCCAGGAACACTGAAAAATCCATGCACTTTTTCAGAATATGTATTAATACATTTTATTTTATGATGCAGTTCCATAGGCCGTGGGATTTCCCTTATCCTCCCGAGTTCCCCTATGTTATTACAATAGTTCAGCCCTTTATAAGCAGCCGTACGTCCATCATTCTGCTATGTCAGTGTGTCCTGACGTTGCGGGTAGACAATGGCAGAGCCCAGCACTCTGTTGTCAGGATGTATTTAACAGTTTCATTGGGAGTCCATCTTTGATCTGGAAGTAGAGATGCATACTCCACTGTATCCTCACATCTGGACAGAGATTGTCTCTATTACACAGTTACTGCACATCCCCTTAAACGAAAAGCCATGTACCAAAATCAACAACCGGAATAAAGTTAAGACATTTATAACACCATGAAGTTAAATAACACTACTGAATGACTAATATATCACTGAAGAATTGAAAAAGAATCAGGAACCTTCTTGGAAAAAATGATGCTTCTGTATGACCTATGAGTCAGTGAAGAATTTAGTAAAAGAAAAGAAACTATTTTGAAGAAATAGACCTAAAAACCAAAATATCAAAACCCATTTTTTTTCGGGGCCCAATGTGGTAGCCTGGTAAAGTGTGGGATCCCATATGGGCGCCGGTTCCTATCCCAGCTGCCCCACTTCCCATTCCGCTCCCTGCTTGTGGCCTGGGAAAGCAGTCGAGGACGGCCCAAAGCCTTGGGACCCTGCACCCGCATGGGAGACCCGGAAGAGGCTCCTGGCTTTGGATTATCTCAGCTCTAGCCGTTGTGGTTACTTGGGGAGTGAATCATTGGACAGAAGATCTTTCTTTCTGTCTCTCCTCCTCTCTGCCTTTCCAATAAAAAATAACTCTTTTTTAAACACGCATTTTTTCATAATATGTATTTTAATGAATTCTTCAAGGTATCCTTGTGTCGTGTCCTGTATGGTTTAGCTGAAAGCTTACCCACCACCCTTTCCTTTTTCTGTATTCCACTCCCCTCTATTCGGCTCATGTGGCCTCTGCACCCCATCTCTTTCTCCCACTCCCTTGGTTTTTCCAGGTGCCAATATCAAAAGAGCACCTGCCACTTGAAAACGGCGGTGTGGCTTTGTGTTCAGCTGAGCTGGGTCCAACTTGGCACTCTGTCTTCAGCCCACACACACCCCTGGGACGTAGGGTGGTGGCCAGTGGGAGATGAGATGAGAACTCTCCGAGTGAGGGCTGGCAGGGCCCAGGGTCACACGGCCAAGCCTTCTGTTTGCAGAACCCACCACCTTCTTCCTGTGATTGCGTGGCCTTCCCATGCAGGTGTAGCCCTGCCTCGTAGCCAGTTCTAGCTCCATGCTGCTACTTGCCATTCGGCTCAGGAGACCCCTTTCCCTCCTGCACATGGGCACTGGGGAGGAGGTGGAGAAGAGAAGGGATGCTCTCATTAGCCCTCCCGCAGCCCCACAACCTGGCCTCATGCCCTGGATGCAGGCACAGGTCAGCTTCCGTAGTCCAGCTGGCGAGCGGCTGCTGCTTGCATTTGCCCACGCAGACCTCCCCATCAGGTGCAAGGCAGAATCTGTCACTCAGCCCCAGCCACTGGTAAGGTGCCCCCAGAGGGCCCAAGGAAAAGTCTCACTGCCGATCCTCCCTTGTCACTAGTGACAACTGAGGCGCTCGCTCTCTCTGTCTCACTCTCACACACACTTATTCACTGTGGTCATCATCTGAAAGAAACAGGCCCTCGCCTGCGCTGGACCCATTGGCTGCGCGATGGACGTGGATTAGCTAGACTGTCCTGGGACAAGCAGCTCTGCCCAAAAAGGGCGTGAGTGGGGAGGGGATGGACTCCCTCAAACCTGACGGAGCGCTACAGACCAAGGGGCAGGGTGAAGCTCAGCCATCCCGCTAAGACCACCCACGCTTTGCATTCCAGGTCTTTCAGCTATTCCATGGGCACGCGGGCATTTTCCCACGACAGTATTTTTATCCCTGATGGGGGAGCAGAAAGTGAGCAGACATTTCAAGCAATGTCACAGGACAACATCCTGGGCAAAGTCAAAACTCTTCAGGTAAGGCAGCCTGCGGGAGGGGCCGAGGCTGCAGAGGGAAAGGGAGAGACCGCCAGCTTGGCCCCGAGCGGGAGAGTCCAGGGGTCACCCAGTGGTGGGAGCGTTTGCTGTTGGAACCCTGACGTAAGGGGTCTGCTCCTCCCACTCCGCCCTGGCCACCCATGAGGCCGCTGTGACACCTGCACCATGCCCCCCTCCCCTCTGCGCCAGACATTCCTGCCAGGTGTGGAGATAAGCAGGTGGCTGGTACAGGGGACACCTGCAGGCTTCCCATGCCACAAGCTCTCTCCCCTTGCTCCTGTTGGGTCTGTTTTTCTCCTTAGGGACAAAAGGAGCTTTACTCAGCGCATTTGCAATAGCTGGGACTCCGGGGGAAGCAGTGGCTCCTAGCGGCCATCGCTAGGATGTCCTGTGGCTTGGCCCACAGAGAAAATGCCTGAGCCAGTTCTCATGGTGGCTGTGATTATGCATTTCCCTGTAGACCCCAAAAGCAAAAGCGAGCGGTTGCTTTTCAAAGTCTAAGGAAGTGAGAAGGATGGGAGTGGCCACGGACAACCTGGGGCGTTAACTGCCCAGGGCTCTGCATTGCAGGCCAATCACACCCTCTCTCCACCAGGTGTCTGGGCAGGGCACAGTGCATGTAAGAAGTGCTCATTCTTGGAGTGTCCCCAGCACCAGTGATGGACCAACTTCATCAATGCCATCCGTTTATGCTACATGCCACCCCCATTCCAGAAAGTGACTTTACAGTGTAGACTAATAATAGTGATGATGATGATGATGATGATAATAATAATAAAGGCCAGTTCTACAGTATTGGGAGTATGGAAACACAGTGGAAATACCTGTCTGCTGTGAACTGGAAGGCATCATTTTTAAGAATCTGATCTCAAAGTCAATTAAATGTATTGCTACCAGCAGCCCCGAAGCAACAGATGTACTGACTGGCCAGGGTTGAGGCGTGAGAAAGAGGCAGGTGGCTGCCCGATAGGTGTACTTCCAGTCAGCCCACAACTGGTCAGCCTGAGTCAGCCCGGCTCAGCCCGGTCGGCCTCTGCCCTGTGTGTGCGTGAACAGGTGCATGCCCCACTGAGCCTCCTCTCAAATCTGCGGTCGGGGCTTTGCGACTTTGTAGGGAAGCGGGGGAGTACACACAGAAGGACCGAGGTTATCCTAACTGTGTCACCCCAAAGGACTCTGCTTTGTTTTTCAGTCGACTAAGCAGTATGTTCCTGGTAAGTGGTAGAAATGGCAGTGACTCTTAACTTGCATGAGTGCTTGGTATTTCGCCATGACCCCGGGGAGGATGCTCAGTATGGGGCAGAGCGCCTCCCCCACGCACCCCCAGACTGCAGCATGGAGCGAGTCGTTGGGGACATGCATGTCTTCCTATCTGAACTCGCCTCGGGGTCCCTGTATGTGGTCACTTCTTGCTAAGACAGAAGCAACGAAAGGCACCTGTCTCATGGTAAATGTTCCAGCAAGCTGGCCACCATTATTAAGGTATTTCTTTGGAAATATAATTACTATCAGGATAACATTTTAAAACAAACCAACAGACGCTAGTTGCCACAGACCAGTTGCAAGGTGTTGATGGGGACTCTATCAGCAAGGGGGCCCACTAGTGGCCGCTCGCAGCCAATCTCCCTGAACTGTCCTGACATGGGATGCCCCCACCAGGGACCACGGCACAGACCTGGCCCAGCGAATGCTCCACTTGCCAAATGTCTGTGAGCCTTTTTCAGAGAGACATGATGCTTGTTTGAGTATAAAAACAATGCACATGCCAAGTGAGGACATAGTTTAGCATCAGGGACATTTGCAGGGGAAACAGTAGCCAGGGCATCCTCATAGGGTACTCTGTACGCAAGCTGGTTGCTTGGTTACTGGGAGAACCAATGCTGTTTATGTAGGGAGGGACCCCTGCAGGGCACGGAGCGTGCAGGGGTCTTGGGTCACCACACCTGCCTGAAGGGTAGCGGGGTGCCTTCAAAGGCTGGTCGGAGCCCCTCCCCAGCTCTTACCATCCGTGATGCACACAGGATCCACCATCCACCTGCTGTGGCTCAGGGCTTTGCGCTTGCTTGCTTTTGGGGCCACCACAACCTTGACCCTACCTATAGCCTCCCGGAAGCACAGGTGAGAGAGGGGCTTGTTGATTCGCTCAGACAAGGCCATAAAGGATGGCCCATGGGTTGACAAAATGCAGGACTGTCAGGTTTGCCCCGCACCTTGGTCTGTCTGTCAGTGCACGTGTTGATGGAACATGGCTCCCCGCCCTCCGGGGCCCAGATCAACACTTCACAAGGCCAGAATCACACGTCTGGGTCTTGTCCCCTGATGGAGATATCCAGTGACACACAGTTCACACATGCTTGTAGCCACTGCCTCCTACAGCAAATGGCTCTCATAGACAGCCGGGAAAATGTGGGCAGCCCAGACCCTGGCGGAGAGCCAGCTGTGGACCCTGCTGCACTGGGCACGCCCCACTCCCTTTTCCCCCACCACCCTCAGGAGCAGCCGCATCCACATGGGGGTGTGTTCCCAGAATGCAGCTCCCCACGTTCCAGAGCTGACCCAGGGGCCCACTGAATGAGTGGACTCCCACTGCCTTTAGCTCACACGCCAGGCCCTGCAAGGGGCCTCCGGGGTCAGGCACGGGTCCCTGCTCTCCCTCTGGAGACAGCTGCAGTGTGACCAAGAAAGCGTCCAGGACAAAAACACAAAGGCAGAGTGAAGTGGCTTATCCGAAAGCCTGAGGGCCCCTCCATCTGACCACCTGGTGTCACACAGCTCCGTGGCCCTGGCTTGTGTGACTCTGAGCTTGTCACCAAGCCCTAGCTAGCAGTTGTCTTCTCATGGCAAATGAGCTGCACAGAGTTACAGCAGGCCAGGCCCTCCACCTCAGCTGGAGGAGGGATGCTGGCAAGAGCGCGTGGCTGTGAGGACAGGATTTTGTCTGTGCATCCCATGGCCTTGAACTCGAGCCTGCCCAGGCCTGGATCCACCAGGCGAGTCTGCAAAGGTCACTTGTCTGAACTCAGGACGATGGCTGCCTGCTGAACGCAGCTCCTGCTTCCCTGGGCATCTCGCATGCTCCTGCTGGCTCCCCAGCACCCCCGTTTGGCCTTTCCTCACAGGGCTGCACTCCCCAGCCTGTTTCTGTGGGCCTGGGGGACTATAAGCTCCTGAGGTGCCATAGCCCACTGGGGCGACAGTAGGGAGCTGTCACAGTAGCGAGGAGAGAGGATTCTGCATGTCCCCAGCACACAGCAGCGTCAGGCATCAGGCTGACAGACACGGTCCACCTGATACAAGGATCACCTGTTGTGTGCGGGTGGTGGGCTGCATTGGGCCCTCTAGAACAGGGACAAATATCACACATCACTTAGGAGTCCACTGCGTGTCAGTCTTGGGGGAACACCAGTGAACAGCATACTCCGCCCCCACGGAGCCCAGTCTGAGAGGATCTAGGGCTGGCCTGGGGAGACAGGGGCCATCTCCCCCAGGATGGCAGAGGCCTGGAACTCAGGGCTTCCACATGCTTACCTAAAACCCCATGGGCTGTCCTTCACACACCTGCTTCCGGGTCTGCTTGGAGAAGGCCCTGGCTGCCGCTTCCTGCTGGCCCTGTCAGCCCAGGACCGCCACCCGCACTCCCCGCACCTCCTCAGGCTGCTGTGCTGTCCCTCCCTGGCTGAGCTGGGCTTTGGATGTGGGCTCTCGCCTGAGGGCCCAGGGCCAGGCCAGGCTGATGCCAGCGGCGCTGACATGCAGGGGTCCCAGGCATGGGCTCTTTCTGCTGGTACCTGCAATGCCACTGCCCGCCATGCATGCAAAGCTGAGGGGAACAGTGGGGTGACAGAGGGAGGGAGGGGTCTGGTGCCCACTGACTGCAGAGGGCGGGGGATGTCCACCCAAAGGACTCTTCTGGCCTGATGCATCCACCCATCGTGCCCCTGGCAGCAGCGTCTCTTATGTCACTGTCTGCCAAAAGGAAGGACTTTGCCTTGCTGTGTGTAGGCGCGGGACCCCAGTCCACCCTGGGTCACATGCCTGTGGAGCCTCGGAATGTTTCTGAAAAGTAGGCTTGGAGGAGGCGATCGCTGAGGATCTTGGCAGCTCTGTGGGTCACGGATAAGCCAGGTTAGACGGGGTCAGAGGTCGCCGTCTTGTTTCTGAGGCACATCCAGAATGTGGTGCCCAAACACCCAGACCTAGAGCTGTGTCCTCAGCTGGTGGCTCTCTGACCCCTCACCCCACTCCCACAGGTCATCTGCAGGCATCTTCCCTTTAAAATGAATTTGTTTATTTTTCATTTAAAAAATTAATTGCAAAAAGAAAGAGAAACAGAGATCTTCCATCCACTGGCTCACTCCCTAAATGGCCGCAACGGCCATAGCTGGGCTGGTCCAAAGCCAGGAGTATGGAGCTTTTTTCCGGGCCTCCCACATGAGTGTAGGGGGTCCAAAGGACTTGGGCCATCCTCTGCTGCTTTCCTAGGCGATGCACAGGGAGCTGGATGGGAAGTGGAGCAACTGGGACTTGAACCAGTGCCCACACAGGATACCAGCATTGCAGACGAAGGCTTAGCCTTCACAGCATGGCACGAGCCAGACACTATCCCTTTTCTAACCTGCCTTTCTCCAGTGCCCAGTGCCACTCATCTGCCTCACTTCTACCTCTTCCCCCGTCACCCTCCAAGGTCCCACCCTCCAGGATCCAGTCCCTCTGTGGTCCCCCTCCCCGCAGCTTCCTTTGCCCTGACTCCGCGGTTGGGGACCAGGCTGTTCTGTCCCTGCTGGGATTCCGGCACCAGGGCATGCTGGCCCTGGCACCATGTCCACATCAGCAGGAACTAATGAGGGTCAGATGATGCCATTTTGCCCCGCACTGCCATGCTGGTGGCCAGTGAGGCAGGCGCTGGGCCCCTCCCCTCGGGGGTCATGCAGGTGTTCTTCTATACAATATCTTGGTCCCCTTAAAAAACCTTTGTTTTTAATCGAATTATAGGGCACGGAATAATGGCTCAATGGCTACACCCTCACCTTGTGGATGCCGGCTCATGTCCCAGAGGCTCCACTTCCCATCCAGCTCCCTGGTTGTAGCCTAGAAAAGTGGTGAGGAACGGCCCAAAGCCTTGGGACCCTGCACGAATGTGGGAAATCTGAAAGAGGTTCCTGGTTCCTAGCTTCACTTCAGCTCAGCTCCGGCCATGTCAGCCACTTGGGAAGTGAACCAGCAAATGAAGGATCTTTCTCTCTGTCTCTCCTTCTCTTTGTAAATCTGATCTGCCTTTCCAATAAAAATAAATAAATCTTAAATAAAAGTATAGATGAATCAGATGGTGTCATTGTAACACGTATGCTGAGTTTTGGTGCAGAAACATGGTTCCTATCCCCATTAGAGAGCGTGGTCATCTCCCAGAGAGGTGGCTGGACGGCACTGCACATGGCTTGAAGGCAGGAGCAAGACGGGAGCAAGACGAACTGCTCACAAGACTGCATGGTGCTTTCCCGGGCGGGCTTGGCACTGAGCCTGGCACAAGGCCACTCGGGAGCTGGGGGGCATGCTTCAGGGCTCCCTGAACCCACTGGGGACATGGCCGGGGCACCCGGCTCACTTCACCACTTCAGAACACCTCGTCTTTTCCCCTCCAGCACCAGTTGGGCAAGAATATCAAGTTTGGGCAGCGGCCAGCCAATGCCCTGCCTGTGAAGAAAGCCAACAGCGAGGAGGCCAGCTCGGAGGAGGGGCCGCTCGGACCCAAGCCCATGGACACTGTGGCTCGGCAGGACACCGTCCCCTTGGACGCCGACAGCAAGGTGAGTCTCCTCCAGGGAGACTGCCTGCTTAGAGGGGGTATCTGCCATCCCAGGCAGGGCAGCGGTGGGTAGGGCTGGGGTGGAGGAGCACTCAGGAGACCCTGCAGAATCTTCTCCCCCACCCCTGGCCCTTCACCCTCCTGGGAACAGAGTAAGGACAAGGCCGTCCTGTCTTCTATCTGTGGCCAAGATGGAGAGGGTGGGAAGGCAATGGAATCCAAGGCCTGAGGTTAGAGGGGTTCCTGGTGGACTGCACCTCATGTGCCCCAAGTGACAGGGAGGAGCCAGGTGGGGGCGAACTGGTGGGTGGGATACCCACTTAGGCCCCCATCCTCCACACTGGATTCTGGTTTCTCTCACAGGCCGCGCCCACACCTGGTTCTCCGGGGCCTCAGGATCCGCCAGGAGCAGGAAGCGAGATGGAGGAGAAGGTAACCAAACTAGAACTCCTTTCTTTCACTTTTTGACTTTGAATTTCCATTTTTCCATTAATGAAAAACAAAAAGGCTCAGCTTGCTTCATTTTGTGCTGGTAAATGTTGCCTTCCCCCAGGTGCAGGCGAACCTCCCAGCATGTCCCCAGGGGCAGGCAGTGCCAGCCCAGGAGCCTGCTGGCCTCGGCAGAGGTCATCCAGACACCGGCCCTGCCCGGGGGCTGCCACTGGGACAGTCACGGAGACCTTAGCATTTCAGCGTTTCCCTACTTGCACATTCTTTTTTCTTTCCCGTGTCACTTTCAGACCTGGCACTTTCCCTGGCAAGGGTCTAGGAACCCTGTGTCCCGCTGCTCATCCACACGGGGCACAGGGCTCCCCCTGCACCTCAGCCTCACCTGACATGCTGCCTGCTCACAGCACAGGTGCGGTCAGCTGTGCACCCTGGCCTGGGCCAAGGTTGCTGCACGTCCAGCTGCACTGCGTGGCCAGGAGCCCTTTCCTCAGCAGTCCTTGCAGACTTGGCTTCTGGTTTTGCTGATGCTTTACAACCTGAAAGACACTGGCAGGTGGCCTCTGTATCCTGCACCACAGCTGATCCTCAGGAACATCACACATCCTGACCCCCGTGCCCCTCCTTTTATGACAAGCAGAGACTGGGAATCCTTTATCCAATGGTTCCCTTCCCAGATGCCTGGGCCAGGCCAGAGCCAGAGACTCCAGCTGGGTTTTCCACTTGTGCAGAACCCTTGGGTCATCTTCTGCTGCCTTCCCTGGCACATTAGCAGAAAGCTGGCATAAAGGCAGATTAGCCAGGACTTGAATAGCTCTAATGTGCAACACGGCCATCAAAAGCAGCAGCTTAACCTACTGAGCCTGGATGATCACGCATGCATACCCCTTTTAAAAAGAAAATGTTTTTTATTTATGGGCCCAGCTCAATAGCCTAGCGGCTAAAGTCCTCACCTTGAACACACCAGGATCCCATATGGGTGCCAGTTCTAATCTTGGCAGCCCCACTTCCCATCCAACTCCCTGTTTGTAGCCTGGGAAAGCAGTCAAGGACAGCCCAAAGCCATGTGGGAGACCCAGAAGAGGCTCCTAGCTTCAGATCAGCTCAGTTCTGGCTGTTGTGGCCACTTGGGAAGTAAATTATCAGATGGAAGATCTTCCTCTCTGTTGCTTCTCCTCTCTGTATATCTGACTATCCAATAAAAATAAATCTTTTTTGAAAATAAATAATAAAATATATTTCATATATGTGAAAGATGGAGAGAGGAGAAACAGAGAGATCTTGCATGTGTTGGCTCACTCCCCAGATGGCTGTCCCAGTCGGGTGCTTCAGTGTGGCACGTCTGCATTGCAAGCAGCAGCTTAGCCCACGGTGCTGCAGTGCCAGGCACTGGTCCAGGCACAGCGTGTCAGAAGGGGTATCCTTAGCTTCCCAGTGCGCTCAGGACTCCGTGCGCTGGGACTGACAGTGCCGAGCGTTCTGTGGATGAGGCATCCCATGGCCCAGGCACAGATCAGTCATGCCTCAGTGGCAGAGGGAGTTGGTCCCAGGCAGGGCGTAAGGCCCCACGCACACCCAGACCCAGACATGCCCTCAGTGTTGTCTGTGTAGACCTGCACGGTGTGTTCACAGACCTTTCCTACATGCCGCCATGCACAGGCAGCAATCCCTGGATAACGCAGTTCATGTGTCATGTCCCTGCTCCGGAAATGGCTGTTAGGACGCCTCGTGGCCACAGCCTGGCCTGTCCTGCTCTTCCTTGAGGGCACAAAAGCAGCCAGACGGTAAAACTCCCACCAAAGCTGGCTGCAACCAACTTGGGCGCCTAAATTCCCTGCAGTCCCCATTGTCCATGGGAGTCCTGACAGGCTACGTGACCTTCACCGGGGAGCAAAAACTGCCCTTGGTAGCACCAAGAGCCTTCGGCCTCCCATGCTCATGCTTATACGCTGTACAGGTGTGCCCTCTGCTCATCGCATCCACTGGGCCTGAGGGAGGGAGGCAGGCAGGCAGGCGTGGGCTGGTGCTGGGGGCTGCCGCAGACTCCCTGCAGGTGCATATGCAGAAAGTTCCAGAGAGCATCTTTTTCGCAATCTGTGCTATAGATGGCTCCTGTAAAGCCGTCCCGGCCCAAAAGGCACTTGTCGCCAGCCGGCACCATCGAAAGCGTCAACCTGGACGCCATTCCCCTGGCCATCGCCCGCCTGGACAGCAGCGCCGCCAAGCACAAACTGGCTGTGAAGCCAAAAAACCAGCGCATCTCCAGGAAGCACCGGCGGCTGGCCCAGGTACGGGCAGTTCGGGGATCCCGCACAGGCACTCTCGCTCCCCAGGGGAGGTGGGCTGGGCTGGAGCGCTACAAGGATCCAGGACCCCCAAGTGGGGCAGCCTGTTTCCTGGCTGGATGGGGAGGTCCCTGGAGGAACCCCAAGGGATACTGATTAAGTCCAGCTGTTTTCTCACTCCCCTTACTGAAGCTGGGTGAATGGCGTCCCCACTGCCCATTCATACTATGGGAGAGGCATTGGGGAGTGACCTGTGACCCTGTGGGGTCAAAGGTAAAAATGAAGTTCTTCCCTTGGACCCAGAAAGTTACTCCCGGTTATTATACTAATGCTGAAGGGACCCCATGGTCCCAGCTGCATTGAGGGACCGGAAGGAAGAGCAGCAGCTGTCTGTGGGGGGCAGCAGGAGGCTAACTATTTCCCTTCTGATATTAGGACATCCCCCATGAGCAAGGGGGCCTAGAGAGTCCACCACCCCAGCACCAGAATGGACACCTTGGGGGAGAGCAGCTGCCCTGGCCACGAGAGGAAGCCGAGCCACAAGGCTCTGAGGAAGAGAAAAGACATCAGGAAGATTACTGGCGGGAGCTCGAGGCCAAGTGCAGGCGACAGAAGGCCGAGGCAGCCGAGAAGAGGCGTCTAGAAGAACAGAGGCTTCAGGCGCTGGAGAGGCGGCTCCGGGAGGAGGAGGAGGAGGAGGCCAGGGTGCAGGAGGAGAGAGGGGACCTGGGGGGCGAGAGGTCAAGGCACCTGCAAGAGGAGGCCTGGAAGTTGGAGCAACTGAGGCAGAGGGAGGAGCTGGAGGCACAGAGAAGGCAGGAGGCTGAGAGGCTGCAACTGCAGGAGGAAGAAGCTAGAAGGCTGGAGCAGCTGAGGCAAGAGGAGGAGCTGGAGGCTCAGAGAAGGCAAGAGGCAGAGAGGCTGCGGCTGCAGGAGGAAGAAGCTAGAAGGCTGGAGCAGCTGAGGCAAGAGGAGGAGCTGGAGGCTCAGAGAAGGCAGGAGGCTGAGAGGCTGCAGGAGGAAGAAGCTAGAAGACTGGAGCAGCTGAGGCAAGAGGAGGAGCTGGAGGCTCAGAGAAGACAGGAGGCTGAGAGGCTGCAGGAGGAAGAAGCTAGAAGGCTGGAGCAGCTGAGGCAAGAGGAGGAGCTGGAGGCTCAGAGAAGGCAGGAGGCTGAGAGGCTGCAGGAAGAAGAAGCTAGAAGACTGGAGCAGCTGAGGCAAGAGGAGGAGCTGGAGGCTCAGAGAAGGCTGGAGGCTGAGAGGTTGCAACAGGAAGAAGCCAGAAGGCTGGAGCAGCTGAGGCAAGAGGAGGAGCTGGAGGCTCAGAGAAGGCTGGAGGCTGAGAGGCTGCGGCTGCAGGAGGAAGAAGCTAGAAGACTGGAGCAACTGAGGCAAGAGGAGGAGCTGGAGGCTCAAAGAAGGCAAGAGGCTGAGAGGCTACAACAAGAAGAAGCTAGAAGACTGGAGCAGCTGAGGCAAGAGGAGGAGCTGGAGGCACAGAGAAGGCTGGAGGCCGGGAGGGAACTGGAGAAAGCAGCAGTGAGACCTGAGGAAGAGAGCCCGTTCCAGCCAGAGGACAGTGGGGACTCAGGGAAGGCACATAGGGGTGATGTGGAAGAGAAGCTGGGAGATCCAGAGAACCCGGAGCTCAGAAGACTAAGCTCAGAGGAGCCAGAGTTTACGGACAATCAGCCGGGCCAGAGTGGACATTCAAGGATTCAGGAGGCGCACGAAGCAGAGGGGGTTGTGGGGCCCCAGGAGGAGGAGGAGGCTGCTCCGGAAAAGGGCCGCAGGGTGGAGGAGCTCCGGTGGCAAGAGGTGGACGAGCGGCAGAGTATGCACAGGCCCTACACCTTCCAGGTGTCCTCGGGGGGCAAGCAGATCCTGTTCCCTAAAGTGAACTTGAGCCCCGTGACACCCGCCAGGGATGCGCCCCCTGCGCCGCGAACGCTGCCTGCGGCCCTCAGCGTCCCCCACACGGCCATCCTGGTCACGGGAGCCCAGCTGTGCGGCCCGGCAGTCAACCTGAGCCAGATAAAGGACACGGCCTGCAAGTCCTTGCTGGGCCTGTCAGAAGTCAAGAGGCACGGGGACGGGGCCCCCTCTGCCGCCGCCAGCCCCGCAGGTCCGCCTCGCGCTCCCGGCTGCTCCAAGACAAGGCCTGCACCAGAGGAGCACGCAGGCAGCGGGGCGGCGCTGGCCGAGTGGGCCACCATCCGCTCTCGGATCCTGAGGGCCGCCGAGGGCGACCGGGAGGCAGCCAGGCCCAGGGACGAGCCCCCTCAGGGCAGCCTGCGCAGGCCCGCGCCACCTGGCGCCAAGTTCTCCATCAAGCCTGCGTGGCAGAAGTTCTCCAGCGGCGGCGGGGCCGACGGCCACAGGCCTGGCGCGGAAACCGAGGGCGTGAGGAGGATATCCGCATCGGGGCCCCGCGACGAGACAGCGGCCGCCACCGCCCTCCCAGAACCCCGGGGGAGCACTGAGCCCGTTGATGCCACAGAGGGGTGCAAGTTCGCCAAAGACTTGCCGTCCTTCCTGGTCCCGAGCCCGCCTCGACCAGCGCAGAGAGCCGTCGCGGCCCAAGCCGAGCTTGCAGCCTCTTGGGACGGCGAGGCCGCGCACCCGGCCGGGGAGGACCAGGCCTCGCCCTTTGGCATAAAGCTGCGAAGGACCAACTACTCCCTGCGCTTCCACTGTGAGCAGCAGGCGGAGCAGAAGAAGAAAAAACGTCGCAGCAGCGCAGGAGACGGGGCCGAGGCCCAGGGCGCCACAGGCCCCAGCCCGAGTGCAGCCCTTGTGCCTGACAAGGCCACCAGCAGGATGAAGCCAGCGCAGGCCGCCCCCAGCCCCAGCCCGGCGGCCCCCGACCCCGACAAGGCCGCCAGCAGGATGAAGCCAGCGCAGGCCGCCCCCAGCCCGAGCCCGGCGGCCCCCGACCCCGACAAGGCCGCCACCAGGATGAAGCCGGTGCAGAAGCCAGCGCTGGCTCCCAAACCGGCCGCCAGCCAGACGCCACCGCCATCACCACCGCGCTCCAAGCTGAGCAGGCCCTACCTGGCGGAGCTGCTTGGCCGCCGCACCGGCAGGCCTGAGGCCGAGCCCAAGGAGTCAGTCCGGGAGAGCAGCGGGGAGCCCCGACCATTGCCACCACCCCTGGAGGCACCCAAGAGGGAGGAGGAAGTGAACGAGGTGGTGGAGAGGAGCCCCGCTTCCCCCGCAGCTGCGCAGGAGAAGCTCGCCCCAACGCCTGAGGCGGGGAGGAGAGGTAGGTGGCTGCGTGATGGGGCACGGTGGCCCCAACCAGGGCTCAGCTGGCCCAGGGCACTCCCTCTCCTGGGGATGCCCAGTAGAGTGTGGTGGCAGGCTCTTTCCACATCAAGGCTTTGGAAATGCGTTGTGTGTGGAAGCTGGTCCACAGGCACGGAAGGTGCTGAAGCTGGGTCTGTACAGAAGGAAAGAGGGAGGGAGGGAGCCTCCCCTGCTGTGCTTCACTGCCCACATGCCAGCAGGAGCAGCCAAGGCCAGAGCCAGGAGCCCAAGTGGGTGGTGGGAACCCAAACACTGGAGCCTTCCCCCACCCCTCCCAGGGCGCACATAAACAGGGAGCTGGAATGAGAGGAGCTGGGAGGTCCAGTTGCCCTGGCATTCTTGACCACTGTACTGAATGCTCACCCGGCCCCGGGGGGTCACACCAGTGCTGTGGGCAGGCTGCTGGCAGCTCACTTTGAGTGATGCGTCCAAGAAACTTCCTGCCAAGGGTTTAGCCCCAGGTTCTTTTTGGCCCAATAGCTTTACCTGGAAACCATTTGGATCTTGGCGTGTGGTTTCTAGCAGTCTGACAAGGAGAACCATGCGGCAAGTCAGTGGGGCAGAGTGCTCGAGCCAGGAGCTCTTGGAGCGCTGGGGTGTTTGGAAGCCCCTCGGGAATGAGTTGGCCTCCTTGGCTTGGATTCTAACTGAAGTGTTGTTTTGTGCATGATGCCCCAGGCTCACTGCACCTGTGACTTCCATCTGCCCACGTGTAGACGGCCTGGGTGTGATGTAGAGCATCCTTGCAGTGCCGATCCGAAGCTGGGAACCAGGAACCTCACCCGGGTCTCCCACGTGGGCACAGGGTCCCAAGGCTTTGGGCTGTCCTTGACTGCTTTCCCAGGCGACAAGCAGGGAGCTGGATGGGAAGCAGGGCTGCCAGGATTAGAACCAGCAACCATATGGGATCCCGGTGCATGCAAGGCGAGGACTTTAACCACTACTCTATCACGTCAGGCCCATAAGTCATTCTTTTTATAAAGAAAGACACTCAGTAAGCCAGGTCACTTTCGGGGGCCCCCGGCAGGCCTGCGAGATGAAGACACAGGTTTCATAGAGGGACGCCCTCCGTCTCCAAGGAGAGAAATGCCCTGTATGCAGTTGGTCAGACATCGCTCCCCACCCAGTGGAGTGTGAGCTATTTATTTTTTCTTTTTACTTTGAAAGGTAAAATTAGAGACAGGGCTCTTCCATCCGATAGTTCACTCCTCAAATGGCCACAGTGGTCAGAGCTGAGCTTGTATGAAGCCAGGAGCTGCTTCTGGGTCTCCCATGTGAGTGCAGGAGCCCAACAAGTCAAGCCTTAGGCCAGAAGAAAGGAGCTGAATGGGAAGTGGAACAGCTGGGACTTGAACTGGCGCCCATAAGAAATGCTGACATTGCAGATTACAGCTTTGCCTGCTAATGCCACAGTGCTGGTCTGTGTGGGCGGTACTGCACCGGCTTTCTGAAATTGCACAAGCGTCAGGCGGAAGCACCGAGACAAGCATTCCACAGTAAAGCTGCCTTTGTGTCCTCTACAGAGAAGCCGGTGCTCGAGGACAGGCCCTCCCTAGAGAAGGGTGAGGCCGCGCAGCCGCTGTGGGTCACGCTGGCGCTGCAGAAGCAGAGGGGCTTCCGTGAACAGCAGGCCACGCGGGAGGAGCGGAAGCAGGCTCGCGAGGCCAAGCAGGCGGCCAAGCTGACCAGGGAACACGTGAGTAGCCCGGGCCGGGAGGGCGCGGAGACGCTGCTGGAGGGAATGGAAGTGGGTCAGCCGTGCTGTGAGCCCCCCAGGAAGCTAACCAGCACCGCCACTGCCGGCCAGCCTACTGCACAGCCACAGTGCAGGGCTGCTCACAGAGGCCAGGCAGGGGAACGCACTGCATGGGCCAGCAAAAGGAGAAAAGGGTTCTGTTAGATGTTTACTTACCAGACTCTGCTAAATAAATTACTGCAGTTTTTTTTTTAAGCCCAGGGGTGCAGACCACAGCACCCCTTGCCGTCTGGTGGGAGCTGTGGGCAGGGGCACTGCTGGCACAGTAACTGAGGCACAGCGTCCTTTAACCTCCACCTCGTGGCTAGGTGCCTGGTTGGTTAGTGAGACTCGGGGAGCAGTGTGCGTGGCGCAGCCCTCCTGGTACAGCATCCTTCTGGCAGTTAACACCCCTGAGCCTGCACCAGTGGCCAAGGCCGAGACTGCGTGTACACAAGCGTCCTACAGCGCATGTGCATCCTGGGCAAGAAACCTGATGTGGCCGGTTCGCTGATGCAGCCGAACGCACCACGCGGCGAGGGCCCAGGCGCCTGCAGGGCGGGCCTCTCAGCGTCCTCCGTGTCTGCCCTGTCCAGGTCAGTGGCAGCCCACAGTCCAGCAGCAGAGGGGGCTCCCTACCTGCAGCCACAGCGGAGAACAAGCCCGAGACAGCCATGGCCCGGCCAGAGCGCAGAGAGCCGCTGAGAAAGGCCAGCACGCTGCCCACGTCGGTGACAGGTAGGAGTGGCTCTGCCAGGCCTCCCCCAGGGCCTGAGCCACCACTGCCTCCAGGGTCGGCCTTAGCAGGGAGGAAGCTGCGGTCAGGAGCTTGAGCTGGGACTCAGCCTGGGCACTACAGTATGGGCTGGACTCCCCACTCTCAATTCCTTGTTTCCAAGGACCTTTAACAGCATGTATTTGTTGAGCGATACCTCAAAAACTTCCATCTCAGTCCCTCCTGTGGATTCCTGGGAGGATGGACACAGCAGAACCAGTTCCTTCCCACATTCCCAGACAGCACACATGTCCCTCTGGCTCGGCACTTCCCTGCTTGGATGGGACTGGGAGGTCTCCAACTAAGGTCACATTCAGCCATCAGCACTTCTAAAGGCCATGGACGCCCGTGAGCCCCGGCAGATGGTGCCAGGATGTGAAGAACTGCTAGTGACATTGTGAGGGCTGGCAGGGCCCATGGGGCTGGGCGATGGCACCCTGGGCTGCTCTGTGGCTTCAGCCCTTCCTTTGTGGGAATGACTGGCTGCCGGCTGACAGCTGTCACAGCACTGACCACTGACCCTCCGCTCTTACCACGTGGCATCGCCTGGGGGACAGAAAGTTGGACTTCTTGGGGGCAGGTGCTTAGTGGAAAGGCTAAGTCCCTGCTTGGCACACTCTCTTGCCCTAGCAAAATGCCCGTGTTCGAGCCCTGGCTGCAGCTCCTGACCCATGGACCCTGGCAGGCAGCAGGTGGCTAGCCTGGGTGGATGGGATGGCTGGGCTTCCTCCCTTCTCCCAACTCATCAGAATGGGGTTTAGGAGCTGTGGGGCGGGGCACAGGCTGAGGGGATGGAGGTTAAAAGAGGCGCACTTGGAGAAGAGTAGAGGAGTTCTTGGGCAGAATGGTGACCCCATCGCTACGTAGGGTATTCTTAACAAAGAGATGCAATGGAGAAAGCTGGAATGTTCCCGTTGCAAACATGCAGACCCTGTGAGGCGAAGTGCGTCTGCCAGCCAGCAGCCCCAGGGGACCCTCCCATGGCCCATCACCACCTGATGTGGCACTCGGGGCACACAACACAGTTTTGTCTTGAACAAAAAGTCCTCTTGCATACAGCCCAGTCCTGACCTGCTCTCTCTCCTCTTCCTCACCAACGGGCTCCAGTGGAGATCTCGGACTCGGCGGCCCCAGCGCCGCTGCTCAAGGAGGTTGCCAAGCGGTTCTCCACCCCTGACGCCACCCCCGTGGCCACCGAGCCAGCCTGGTTGGCCCTGGCCAAGAGGAAAGCCAAGGCCTGGAGCGACTGTCCACAGATCATCAAGTAGAACGGCGCTGGGCTCCGTGCTCGTGTGTGTGTGTGTGTGTGTGTGTGTGTGTGTGTGTGTGTGTGTGTGTGTGTGTGTGTGTGTGTGTATGGGTGTCATGGAGGCCTGGAACTCGGCCAGGAAATGCAGTGTATCTCCTAGGCCTAGAATTGTGGCTGGGCAGGACTGGTGGTATTTATCCTGAAGGGCAACCACACAACCCAGGAACTCGTGGCTGCGAGCGCCTCCCGCTTCTCCAGAAGGTTCTGTCTGGGGGCACCTGCACCATGCACAGCGTGTCTTTTTGCCAAGCTCGCAGTAGTCTCCAGCTGTCTGCTTCTGCCTTCCTACCCAAGACCCTCACCCCCATGGTCTCGGGCTGCCCATGTTCACATTGACGGAAGCAGGGTCATGCATGGGCATACCCGGAAGGCCCATGCTCCTAGGGGCAGTGCCTAATGGAACCTCAGGGTCCTGGCTGCCCTAGCTGCCTTTGGCCTGGACTCAACTGCCCCCTTGCTGAAGCTGTCCCCACGCTGAGGCATGGCCCTGCTGGACATGTGAAACCGGTGTCCCCCGGGCTCCTGCAGCTCTGAATGTGGCAAAGTTAGGGAATTCTGCCTCGGAGCCGCAAGCTCTCCTCACATCTCTGGGACCCCCCCACACCCCATCTGCTGCACTGGTGTTCAGGTGGGGGCTCCATGCCAGCCCTAGAACCCAAAGATGACATCTGTGCTGTGACCTGGTGTCAGGCCTGGAAGTTGGGGAGGGAGCCTTCTTCACTCCCAGCAGGCAAAGTCCCGACCCACCTCGACAGCAGCCACGGCTCACGCACTGGGACCGGCGGCTGGCTGCAGGGCAGGTCAAAGTCGCCTTTGTGTAAGGACCTCTGGTGGAAGCTTGGTTAATACTAAGAGTCAAATGTTGAACAGCACCTCTCATGTTGAGCATTCACCTTGCTACCTTTAAAAACACCTCGGAGACATAAGTGGCCTTGTCGTCCATCATACTCGAGCAACCAGGGAGGGACTCGGCAAGGGAAAAGCCACGCGCAGGCACCGGTCCCCCTCGACGGAGCAGCGGCTCCCTGCCTTGCTGGTGCCGTGTGTGCCGCGGCAGAGCCCCTGGTCCTCCCCTCTGCCGTGTGCACCGGGGCAGAGCCCCTGGTCTCAGGGCAGCTGTGTGGGCAAGCCCACGCGTGTCTGCCGACCAGCCATTACTTCATGCAGAGTACTGTCTTCTGTCGCTCACCTCCAAGGCAGGTGGCAGCACAGCACACAGCACCACATTCGTTCCAGAAGCACCTGCAGCAGCCCGCAGGCCAGGCTCGGGCGTGTGACCTGGACCCACCATCACTGTCTTACGCAGGAGGAAGCAGTGCACGGACGTTCTGCCACGTGTGTCCCCCTCTGACGTGCGTTTCTCCTGGGGACAGCCCCCATCAACCCCAGGGATGTCCTCACAGAGGTGACACTTGCCATGCAGAGCCCAGGGGCTTTGCATGGGATCCTGGGATAGCAGGAACCAGGCAAGCATTAGTACACATGCGTCCACTCCGTGCTGGCTGGGACCCACGGGCAGGGCCTGCCACTCCATGCTGACCCCAACCTCATGGGACCCACACACGTGGGCTATGTCTGCTCCATGTGGGCCAGGATCATGTGAGACGTGTCCACTCCGTGCTGACCTCAACCTCACAGGACCCCATGTGGGGTATGTGCGCTGCTGGCCTAGCCCGCGAGGCCCAGGCGTGGGGTGCACCGCTCCTGGCCGGCTGGGACCCAACAGTCGGGGAAATGGAACATGCCCAGCTGTGGTACTTTTGATGCCCGTGCACTTAATACATCTTGGAGAGCTTCGTGGAAAACATGCATTATGAGCAAACTGTGCCTGGATTTCAAACTGGTTTGCACCAGCCCGTGTCAGCTCCGTGTCAGCTCCGTGTCAGCCCCGTGTCAGCTCCATGTCAGCCCCGTGTCAGCTCCGTGTCAGCCCCGTGTCAGCTCCGTGTCAGCCCCGTGTCAGCTCCGTGTTCAGGGAGGCTTGGAAGTGCCCCGGAGCCCCAGTTCGTCATTCTCCATCGGTTTATACGAGAAGAGTGGGGGAAGGCAGCCGCGGGACTTCGGGCGCTTCGGAAAGGTCCGTGTTTACCATTTCATTTCAAATTCACTCCAGATTTGCACTAAATACCAACCAAGTGTTATTTTTCTTCTTTCATGTTGCAGTCTTAGCAACAAACGATGGGGAAAGTCTAAACATCCTAGTTCAGTTCTGTTTTTAATGAATAACTGCTATGTTAAACACACAATTTTTTTTTTTAATTTCAAACATACACTGTCCTGGCAAGGTTAGCTGATCAAGCTCTCTGTTCACAGATAAAAACTAGAGTTTTTGTTTAATTTTTCAAGTGCAATTGTTTCTTAGATAAGCACTACTTCTAAATTATCCTTTCGTCACTCTACAAATGAATAGTAAGTATTAAGTGTCTCTTGTGATGTTTAGTTTCCTTATTTTAAAGCAGAAACATTACCTGCAAGTGTCTTGCAATATTTTTACCTACAATAAAATTAAGTAGGAAGTTAACGAAAATACTCTAGTGGGATTTTAGTATTATTCTGAGATTCTGGTTGTACAAAGTTGTAATGTAAATGTCCAGTACTTAAGGGAAAAGATCTTTCAATAAAAAAATCTCCCACGGTTCCCTGGCACCGGTGGGACTGCCTTCTGCAGTGTGTGTAGTCTTGCTGATGATGCCCAGCTCGCTCGGCGTGTGCCGTGGGGGCGGCAGGGGACACTGTGGGCGCTCTGTGGTCTGTGTGCAGTGCGGGCGGCAGGGGGCATTGGGGCGCTCTGTGGTCTGTGCGCAGTGAGGGCGGCAGGGGACACTGGGGCGCTCTGTGGTCTGTGTGCAGTGAGGGCGGCAGGGGACACTGGGGCGCTCTGTGGTCTGTGTGCAGTGAGGGCGCAGGGGGACACTGGGGCGCTCTGTGGTCTGTGTGCAGTGCGGGCAGCAGGGGGCAATGGGGCGCTCTGTGGTCTGTGTGCAGGGAGGGCGGCAGGGGGCATTGGGGCGCTCTGTGGTCTGTGTGCCGTGGGGGCGGCAGGGGACACTGTGGTGCGCTCTGTGGTCTGTACGCAGTGCGGGCAGCAGGGGACACTGTGGGCGCTCTGTGGTCTGTGTGCCGTGGGGGCGGCAGGGGACACTGGGGCGCTCTGTGGTCTGTGTGCCGTGGGGGCGGCAGGGGACACTGGGGCGCTCTGTGGTCTGTGTGCAGGGAGGGCAGCAGGAGACACTGGGGCGCTCTGTGGTCTGTGTGCAGGGAGGGCGGCAGGAGACACTGGGGCGCTCTGTGGTCTGTGTGCAGTGAGGGCGGCAGGGGACACTGGGCGCTCTGTGGTCTGTGTGCAGTGAGGGCGGCAGGGGGCATTGGGGCGCTCTGTGGTCTGTGTGCCGTGGGGGCGGCAGGGGACACTGGGGCGCTCTGTGGTCTGTGTGCCGTGGGGGCGGCAGGGGACACTGGGGCGCTCTGTGGTCTGTGTGCAGGGAGGGCGGCAGGGGGCATTGGGGCGCTCTGTGTGCAGTGCGGGCGGCAGGGGGCAATGGGGCGCTCTGTGGTCTGTGTGCAGGGAGGGCAGCAGGAGACACTGGGGCGCTCTGTGGTCTGTGTGCAGGGAGGGCGGCAGGGGGCATTGGGGCGCTCTGTGTGCAGTGCGGGCGGCAGGGGGCAATGGGGCGCTCTGTGGTCTGTGTGCAGGGAGGGCAGCAGGAGACACTGGGGCGCTCTGTGGTCTGTGTGCAGGGAGGGCGGCAGGGGGCATTGGGGCGCTCTGTGTGCAGTGCGGGCGGCAGGGGGCATTGGGGCGCTCTGTGGTCTGTGTGCAGTGAGGGCGGCAGGGGACACTGGGGCGCTCTGTGGTCTGTGTGCCGTGGGGGTGGCAGGGGACACTGTGGGCGCTCTGTGGTCTGTGTGCAGTGCGGGCGGCAGGGTACACTGGGGCGCTCTGTGGTCTGTGTGCAGTGAGGGCGGCAGGGGGCAATGGGGCGCTCTGTGGTCTGTGCGCAGTGCGGGCGGCAGGGGGCAATGGGGCGCTCTGTGGTCTGTGTGCAGTGCGGGCGGCAGGGGGCAATGGGGCGCTCTGTGGTCTGTGCGCAGGGAGGGCGGCAGGGGACACTGGGGCGCTCTGTGGTCTGTGCGCAGGGAGGGCGGCAGGGGGCAATGGGGCGCTCTGTGGTCTGTGTGCAGTGAGGGCGGCAGGGGGCAATGGGGCGCTCTGTGGTCTGTGCGCAGGGAGGGCGGCAGGGGACACTGGGGCGCTCTGTGGTCTGTGCGCAGTGAGGGCGGCAGGGGGCATTGGGGCGCTCTGTGTGCAGTGCGGGCGGCAGGGGGCAATGGGGCGCTCTGTGGTCTGTGTGCAGTGCGGGCGGCAGGGGGCAATGGGGCGCTCTGTGGTCTGTGCGCAGTGAGGGCGGCAGGGGACACTGGGGCGCTCTGTGGTCTAGGACACATTTCTCATTAGATATTCTGGAGAAAAACAGTAAGGAGGAGCAAACACAACCTTTCAATCTTCAGCTGAAAGGACACAGTCAACGTGCGAATGACTGTTGCTCCATTTTACTGCGCAGCCCAGGCCGGGCTGGCCCCTGCTGCCGCCGTCCAGTGCCCATCGACAGGCCTGCGAGCAGCAGCTGCCACAGCTCCGTGGGAGGCAGCAGGCTGGCTCAGGGGACTGGGCTCCGCCAGCCACGGGACATCAGGTCTGAGTCTGGGTTTCTGCGTCTGCCTGGCCCAGGCTCAGACAGTGCAGTCAACTGGGGAGTGAAACACTGGGTCGGAGCTCACTGTGTCTTTCTCTCTGCCTGTTAAATACAGAGTTAGAAATGCAGCAATCAAGAGAAACACTGTGTTTATGAAAGATCTTTAAGCAGTTAGTGAAAAAAAACTCCATGATGGACGAAAATTAAATTTTTTAAAGGAGATTTATTTATTTTGGGGCCTGGTGCAGTAGCCTAGTGGCTAAAA